CCAGGCACACAGGCTGCTTACCCAGGGACCTTTACTCGGCCTTTGCAGGGGGAGCGCAGGGGTTTGCCCGGTTACGCACCTCGAGCCTCAGCAAGGACACGCCGGCCCTTGGAAAGCCGCACGGGTTACTACTGCCACCGCTACTCCAAAGCGCAGGGCTCCGGAGCTTCCTGCTCCCTCCCCGGCAGCAGGCCGAGAAGCTGGGCCTCGCCTCTCCCGACACGTGCCACTCGACTGCTACAGCACGTTATTGTAGCTGAACTATTAAAAGGCGTGTTATTCATTATAAATATAAAAAGCAATTACAGGGGGATTGCTTAGAATGACCGATAACCCAACACCTGAAGCTAAGATCAAAGAGACTCCCTGCACACGCCTTCAACACCGAAGTGTCAGCCTTCATTTGCACCACACCAAAAAGCTTACCTGAAATTGTGGCAATAGGTAAGAGAGGGAGGAAAATATCAAGCACAGAGCAACACGAGACCATCATCACTCAGGATATAAGAAGGGAGGATGTAGTCTAAGAACTGGACCTTTTAGTAAGGTAGAACTTGTTGGTTTTACTTCTCAGGTTCATCTGAGATCCACTTTCCCTCTTTACAACACACAAAACTCCTTCAGAATTCCTAGAACTTAATTTTCAACTGAAATTTAAGACAGTTCCGACAGCCCCGGTTTCAAACATCAAATCAAAACCAGTAAAAGTGTTCCCGTGTTGCAATCCAATCTCTCCTCTCAACTGCAATAACTAAGATCCAATATGCTGCAACTGTTGTTTCATTTTCCTCCTAACTGACTAAAGGTACCGCCAACTTAGGGTTTTCTTCCTTTTTTGCGCAGGGACTGGCCTTCTCCTGAGAAGGCAATAAACCGGCTTCCAGATTCATCCTGGAAAAAGGAAAGAGGGGAAAAAAAAAAAAAAAGTCGTTACCTCTTTGCTCACTGCTTGTGCATGATGAAAGCTGAATGACAGAAAGGACATTCCATCAGAGCAGCAACTGACTGTAGACATTTCACATCCTTAATCTACATAATAACCACTTTCTTCCTGAAAATAAAATATGAACAATCCAGTGACCTTTCAGCCAACTGAAACAAGTATGCACTGGCTTATTAAACTCGTATCAGGCCAACCTGCAGGTTGCTCTCACCTAACTCAAACCCCTTTTTAACTACTGCCACTTTTTAACAGAAGGGCTGTGAAAAATCAAGCATGGAGAGAGGAACCCCAGACCTGGGCAGGGGTTCTAATTCTGTGCAAAACTGGGAAGGACCCAACTTTATTTACCTCTTCGACTTTCTTAACTAGCGGACGTGAGTTTCTAATGAACGTGATTCTACCGATCTTGAAGTCATAGTTGGGTATTCCTCTGGAACAGAAGCATAAAAATATTATGAAAGAAGTTTTGTAGCTACCACCCAGTTGAACACCGCGAGACCTATCCTACGCCTGCCAGTACTGTGCCAACACTGGCTGCAAAGTTTCATTACCACATAATTTTACGCTACGTTACCTTCTGAAGGTAGCTATACATTGCAGGAAGTAAACAATCTGATACTGGAGCTGCTGTAGAAGCGTGGCTGCGGGCACGTTTCCGCGCAGCCTGCGGCTTACACCGGGCCATTTCCGCAAGGGTTCAAGTTTTATTTTGACGGGCATAAATGACAGAACACCACAGCAACCCCATCGTGGCACACTTCCACTAAGTCTGAATTTAGACATTTCCTTCTAAGGAAAAAAAAAACCAAGACAAACCTCCAACCCAAACCCACACACGGCTTGGCTTTCATTATCCACCCAGCCCCAAAAAAGATTTTGCTCTCTGCCAAATTTCACTCTAGAGAACTGGCAGGGTTCTGTGCATCACCCGATCCAGACCACCAGCTCAGCCTAGACCTGCTGCCTCTCCCTGCTTGTCTTTTATAGAACCAGAGTTGATTGAGCGAGTTTTGGCAACATTAAGTTAGGATCTGCACCTTAAGTAGTCAGGGATGCCAGAGTCAGTCTAGAAGATTAGACTATTTTCTGCATGCAAACCTACCAGGAAGTTAGCTCGATCATACTGCAGGAGCAGAAAAGCCCCCAAACACTCAACAAAACCTCCACTCAAACACTGACCCTTCGCTTTCTGTCAACGGATAGAGACATACCTTCGAATGTCTCCTGGTTTAATCGGTGATGGACTAGGCTCGACACCTTTCTTCTTGCCATCCAACCTGTTCCCAGAGCCAGAGAATGCCTATGTATACATAACGAGTTTTAATTTAGCTGTACCTTGCATCTGAAAGCACACTGCACAGGGACGCTATGTTCTGTGAAATCACGCTATCATTTTTATTTAATTATTTGATTCAGCACGGGTTTTTCTGGTACATCTAAGCTGATGAATCCTGGGTGTAGGAGTATGTTTTGGTCTCCCACAGACTGCCCTCTTCAGGACAGCAAGTCATACTGTTACTGGCTGTAAGCACCCCAAAACATTTGCAGACACCTGCCAGTTAAACAAGGAGCACCTCTAAGAACAGGTGCTAGTATTCTGCAGTTGTTTGGAATAACTTCCCCTCACCACTTTTACAACATTCAAAAACCAGCAGAAACAGGAGACTTACACGAAATCCTATGTCACTCACATATCCACTATGGTCTGCTTCAGCATCCTGTGAAGGGAAAAACAGTTACTTCGCTGTGTTCCTGATGTGATATGGAGAACACATGAGAACAGTCCCACTATTTCTGACCAAAAAAACCCTTCAGAATAATCCATTTCTGAAACCACCAGTTGCTGAACAACCCTCTCCTAAGTAACACCAGCAAAAGCATCTGTGAAGTACAGTTTAGTCCTAAGAAATTGTTTCAGTAAAAAAAATACCATGTTGGCTCCCACTGCTCCGTCACAAGCAAGGCTGATTTCTAGAAAACGCATTTTTGAAGAACACGAGCTTAACCTACTGTGGTCTCTTCATGTTGTGCACTTCTTTCTGGTTCTTTGTACCCCAAAGGAGCATCAAAATCCACCTATTTACAGAAGAATGAAAATAAGCATGATTTGAGATTTTTCTTTGCTCAAAATCCACCTATTTACAGAAGAAGAATGAAAACAAGCATGATTTGAGATTTTTTCTTTGAATCGTAAGCTTTATATTACTATTCCTCAAAACTCCAAAAACTATCACTCTACTTTGATCTAGAAAGAAATGAGATTTGCTGGTGAAACATTTTAACTCAGGACTAAAATGGCTAAGCCTCACAGGAATGAGCCTTAACACATAATTGAAACAGAGCAGTAAACCAGCACCTCACAGTACGTCTGGAGTTCAACTCATGGCAAGGCTGTTAAATTTGACTCTAAACACCACATTCTAGGGACTACAATCACCTAACGGTACACGGAGTGCAGCTCAAGACCACAGATGTGGTTACAAAGGTGCATGTTTATGCCGAAATGAGTCGTCATCTCTACTGTATCTGATTTTACCTTTCCTGTGGCATCAGAGGTGCTTGGTGCACAGCGCTATCACTGAACGAGATGCCCTCCCCTCTTGGGGGGACACAGCAAAAGCCACGTCAGGTTTCACTTACATTCATATCGCATTCTATGATGGACACTGCTTTGTCTGGTTTGGTCTCCATCACCCGGAGCTCATAGATCTGAAACAGTAACAAGTACTCTTAAGATTGCACAGGAAAGAGCTCAATTTATACAGAAGAAAAGCATATCTAAACCTGTCCCTTCAGATGGCTTCAAGGAAGTTAAAATAAATGCTCGTGTTGAGGACTGGACGCTGCAGGCTCTCTGAAGAATCATAGAATCATAGAATCACTAGGTTGGAAAAGACCTTAGAGATCATCCAGTCCAACCGTAAAGAACAGGAGAGCGAGGATTTTTAACTCGGGTAGAAGATTGTTGTCTGTTGTAGCTAGAGACCCTACCTCATCCTGCACCGTGCTGAACTTTTACTGCACCTTAATCTGCATTTTTGAAAGCAAATTATGAATTTAGGATAAACTGCCCCTTCGACTTGTAAAAACATCAACAGCACAAAAATATGTTTTCTCGAGAGTCAAAAAAAAAGGTCTAAACAGCAGCTCAGGAGAAGACGTGACTGACCCCTGTTTTCCTCCAAGAGATCTGCCATCCGGGGCTCCTCGTTAACAACACTGCACAGCTCTGTGTGGGATGTCAGTGCTACACCAACCAACAACCGAGCTCACTCTACAACCCCAAGCCATCAAAAGCGCACATGTGCTGCTGAAGAACTCCTCTATAAAATCTGTTTACAAGATGTAGGCAAAGTACTTGGGCGGTCACAGTCTGCCGAAATACGGCACACTTTTTTTTTTTTTTTTTAAAAACACAGGGCAGAATTTGTTTCCTCAAATTGATGGTCTCCAAATGAAACTTGCAGGGACTGCTGTTGGGTACTGTACCTTTTCATTGTAGTTGATGGCAATAACATCCCCGGTAGTTAGACATGCAAAGTTTCTCAAGGCATTTTCTAATCTTTGAGGTATGTTAAGATGAAACATTTTTTCAACGCAACATCAAACCTTAAAGTTATTACGTTATAAAACTCTGATCCTTGGTCTCTCAAAAGTGGTTTAAATGTCATCAGTACTGTAGATAGATTTTTAGTAAACATCAGGGTGTACAAGTTCTTTTAAAGGGCACTCAAACTCACAGGACTTTAAGCCAAAGATTCATGCTCCTCACTTCAGGCTACACTTTGTGCCAGCAGTATGCAACATCTCTGTACATAGGCTCTCCATCCTTTTTGCTTTCAGAAGGAGTAGTAGCAGTTATTTGGTACTGGAAGAGTATGTGCCACAACTGAAAAACTAGCTCTGCTTCCTCATTTTAGTTTGGGAGAAAACTTTTGTCCCCTAGTCCATAACTGATAGGAAGGATACACAGCTTTGGGATTGGTGATGTCAAGAAAATCTGGACTTTGTGGCTGAAATTTCGAGTAAGTAGCAACTTGAAGATTGACACTCTCCACTTGCACCAGGCCTCCCTCTTCCAGCAGCAGATTCTGCATCATCTGCAAGAACAAATACAGTAGATACAAACCACTATCACCAAGACCATTGTTTCTAATTCTCTTTCCTTGAGTATACTCCCCCGAGGAGAAGGACTTGGGGGTA